AACTTGTACGAGTTAGGTATTTTCTTATTTAAGAATTATTTTATTTTTATTTATTTTATTTTTTTAAAAGATGACACCCCTATGTAAAATTTATGCGTCGGCCATTGGTTGAGTTGCTAGCTTGTAACATCCCGAACCTTTTCTCGATGAAGATATTGTTTGCTTTGGACCTACACTCTCACGATTTTCGACTTGGGGTGCATATCAATGTGATTTTTCATAAGGTCACCCAAAAATGCGTCTCGTTAGTTAAGATCAATTTCTTACTTATAAACCATTGATCTCTCTCGTGTTTTGTCGATGTGTGATTCGCCTAATGTGTTACATAGCATTTAATTTTCTAATAATTTTTTTCATTATTCATGAGAAAACCTCTGTTTTCATAACCGGACCGGAGGCTGAACCGGAAAAGTTAGTGGTTTAGGGTTCACTAACCGTTACAAAATCGTTGGTGAACTGTTAATTATATATAACATATAAGACTTGTATATTACACTAATTTAAGAATAAAATTATCATTGACCATAAACAAGTTCAAATTCATATCATCACGAAAATATCTAATAAATCATTCCAACCATCTCACAAAAGAAATCACATTTTTTAATTTAAATTAAAAATTACGGTTCTAATTGGTAGTAGACAATGTAAAATGACAATAAGCTTGAGGAAGCATATATAAAATTGATAATTATGATTTGATGGTCTTAGTTTATGTTAAAATATTTTTTTTTAAAAATAGTGAACCAGTGGACCAGTTAAACCGTGCCGGTTCATCTGATTTTATGTTGAACCGTGAAAAACCGTTTGGTCCATCAATTGTTAGAGTGTCTAGGGCTCGGCCCATGTATATATACATATGTATCCACGTAGTCGGCCCATCCCGTGCACGTAGACTTGATGAATGCATGGGATTAGGGTTTAGGTCATATGTAGGTCATATATATTCCTCTGTACTCTCGGTTGAAAGACTCAAGCTGAATAAGAGACCGCCGTTCTCCGTGGACTAGTCGGTATTGCTCTCTGCAATACTGGAAACCACGTATATCATTTGTTCCGTTATTTTCAGCTCACAGGTTTACTAACATGGTATCAGAGCTTACGGCTATGGATTCATAGAGGCTCTCTGTTCGATTGAATCACAAGAACTACGCTTTATGGGAATTCCAATTTCGCGTCTTCGTCGAAGGCCATGGTTTGCTGGGGATTCTCAACGGTACGATCATGAAGCCGGCCGCGCCGGCTACGGATCAAGAGATTGCTCGCTGGGAGCAAAGTGACGCCCGGATTCGCTCCTGGTTGCTTGGTTGCGTGGATCCCATGATCTCTTTGGGGCTTTGGATGCTTTCAACAGCCCATGGGATGTGGGCTCATCTTGCGGCAACCTACTCCACCGTCAACACCGCACGCCAATTCGAACTTCAGATTGCTCTGTGGGTCAGCTCACCGAGCAAGGTTTATCAGTTTTGTTTGGTCCTTCTGGTTGTGTTATACAGGACACGAAGACGGGGAGGCAGATCGGGTGAGGGAGTAAGAAGGGGAGGGTCTTTCATCTCGAGGAGCTCTCGAGTTCAGTATCACCATCGTCACCAACAGTTAGTTCAACTCTTGTCAGTAGTCCTTCTAGTAGTTCAGTCGATAGGAACAGTGTTCCGTTGGCGTCTAGTGTCTCGGCCTCTTTTCCTGTGTCTTCGTCTTTGTCGAGTAAATCTGATAATGTATGGGATTTGTGGCATGCGCGGTTGGGTCATCCAAACTCGGCACGTCTTTTGGCTATGTTTAAACATAACCTTCTTGGGAAAAATAAGATGGATGGTATTGCTTCACATTTATGCACGAGTTGTATTGAAGCAAAGATTACAAGTATTCCTTTTCCCTCCAGTACAACTGTGATTTCTGAATCATTTCATCTTATCCACACTGATTTATGGGGGCCGTCCCAAGTGGTTTCTCGTCATGGTTTCCGTAATTTTGCCTTGTTTGTCGATCATGCTACCCGGTTTACGTGGGTTTATTTTCTCCGCTTAAAATCAGACTTGTTTGCTGTTGCTTCGGAATTTTTTAATATGATCCGAACTCAGTTTGAACGTCCGGTCAAGATTGTTCGGTCTGACCCTGGTGGGGAATTTAGTTCACACCCTCTCCGTGACCTTTACCGCTCCCTCGGCATCCTTAGTCAGAAATCCTGTCCTGGTGTTTCCCACCAAAATGGTCTTGTTGAGAGGAAAAACAGACATGTTCTCGATCTTACCAGGGCTCTGTTGCTAGCTTCTCATGTTCCCGTGTCTTTTTGGCCTGAGGCTGTTGCCACCGCTGTTCGTCTCATTAATTATCAGATTACTCCTGTTCTGGGTCATAAGAGTCCACATTTTGCCTTATATGCGTCTCATCCTGATTATTCGCGTCTTAGGGTTTTTGGGTGTACTTGTTTTGTCCTCCTGTCCAAGAAAGAGCGTCCCAAATTGTCCTCTAAAACTGTTCGTTGTGCTTTTCTGGGTTACAGTGATGTCCACAAAGGGTACCTTTGTTATGACCCTTTCCTCAAGCGTATTAGGATCACTTGTAACGTCGCCTTTTTTGAACAGTTTCCGTTTTTCTCTGCTTCGAGTCCTCCATCTCTGCTGTTCTTGTCTTCTGCGTCCGCCTTACCTATGTTCGACGAGAATGATGGTGATATTGCGGGTGACCTTCCCCCTCGGATGATGATGATGCCCCGCTCGATCGGACTCCCCCGGCCACGCCTGCTTCAACGTCCGCGGCTTCAACTTCTTCCTCCTCTCCTGGTACACAGGCCCCCTCAGGCGCATCACCATCCACCGCCTCCAGCTCCCTCGCGTCAGCAGCTGCTTCCAGCTCCCCTACATCGGCCGCTGCTTCCAGCCAGCTCACCGCGTCCCCGGCTACTCCTCCTATGCCCCGTCGATCAACGCGCTCCACGCTGGGCCAGCCCCTGCTTCGGTTCCAGGACTATCATGCATATGGGGTTGACTCGGTCCCCATTCCTACACGCTATAAGCAGGCCCATGGTGATCCAGTGTGGGATAACGCCATGGACGTGGAGATTGATGCTCTCCATGCAAACGGGACGTGGACTGTGGTTGATCGCCCACCTCCCACAGTGCCTGTCGTGGGGAGTAAGTGGGTATACAACATCAAGTTTCTCCCGGACGGTTCGATTGAGCGGCATAAAGCCCGGGTGGTTGCCCAGGGGTTCACTCAGGAACACGGTGTGGATTATGATGAGACTTTCGCTCTCGTCGCAAAGATGCCTACTGTTCGGACACTGCTAGCTGTTGCTGCTGTTCGTGATTGGCCTCTGTATCAGTTGGACGTGAAGAATGCCTTTCTTCATGGCGATATGAAGGAAGTGGTGGATATGGAACCTCCTCCTGGGTATAAGTATGCTTCTCCTGGTCAGGTTTGCCTTCTTCATCGTTCTCTTTATGGACTCAAACATTCACCCCGTGCCTGGTTTGAGAAGTTTCATGCTACTATTCTGGCCTTGGGACTTCCGTCAAAGTCTCAATGATCCGTCCCTCTTCACGATGACCTCGGCGGCAGGTATTGTTGTTCTTTTACTATATGTTGACGATATGGTGGTTACAGGAGATGATGTGGAGGGGATTCGGGCTTTGAAGAGTGGTATGCAAGCTGCATTTAGTCTGAAGGATTTGGGGGACCTTCGATACTTCTTGGGCCTCGAGATCACTCGTTCTTCTCTGGGGATCACTCTTCACCAGACTAAGTATATCAAGGATCTTCTTTCTGAGCATCAGTTTGACTCCTGTACTCCGGTCCGCACTCCCATGGAGCTCAACCTGAAGCTTCATAAGGAGTCTGGTCCTTTGCTGGCCGATGGTGCAGCTTACAGGAGCATTGTTGGTAGCTTGATTTACTTGGCTACTACACGCCCAGACATTTCTTATGCTGTGCAGATTGTCAGTCAGTTCATGGCTGCTCCGCACCAGGATCATCTTGCCGCAGTTCATCGTATTCTCAGGTATCTGAAGGGGACTATGGATGTTGGCATGTTCTTCTCCTCTCAGGGTTCGATGGCTCTTCAGGCCTTTTCAGACTCCGACTTCGCTGGGTGCGTGGACACTCGCCGATCTACTTCAGGATGGTGTATTCGTTTTGGTTCTTCTTTTATCTCTTGGAGGTGTAAGAAGCAGGATCGGGTTTGTAAGTCATCGACTGAGGCAGAGTACAGGGCTATGTCCGAAGTTTCATCTGAGGTGATATGGCTTCAACGTCTGCTTGCTGATTTTGGTGTCTCCTGTTCGTCTCCTGTGGATTTGTTCGTGGACAACACTAGTGCTATTCAGATTGCTGTTAACCCAGTCATGCATGAGCGGACCAAGCATATTGAGCTTCATATCCACTACGTTCGGGACTTTCGTGATGGGGTCCTGCATGTGCACTATGTGGCATCCGAGGATCAGATCGCTGACCTTCTCACCAAGTCTCTTCCCATCAGTCGCCATTGGTACCTGTCGGGCAAATTGATGCTTCGTGACCGGCATCAATTTGGGGGAGGCTGTTAGATTGTCTATGGCTCGGCCCATGTATATGTACATATGTATCCACGTAGTCGGCCCATCCCGTGCACGTAGACTTGATGAATGCATGGGATTAGGGTTTAGGTCATATGTAGGTCATATATATTCCTCTGTACTCTCGGTTGAAAGACTCAAGCTGAATAAGAGACCGCCGTTCTCCGTGGACTAGTCGGTATTGCTCTCTGCAATACTGGAAACCACGTATATCGTTTGTTCCGTTATTTTCAGCTCACAGGTTTACTAACATCAATAACCGTTCAAACAATGAACCGAACCGCTATCGTAACTGGTTTGACGGTTCTACTGGCCCAGCCGTTGATCCGGTTCGGTTCTTATAACAAGGGAAAAAACCCCGGAAATTATAGCCCGGGTGCTGTTTCTATTTTGCAGATCGGGCTGAAAACCGTTACGTCGAAATAGGATGAGCAGCGCTGGTAGCATTGATGATCTCTCCGTCAGGATTTTCCCCCTGACGGCTACGTTTTCCAGATCGAATATGACGCCGAGGCCCTCCAAAACAACGGGTACATCCCTTTCCCTTTTCTCTCAGTTTGTTTGTTTTCTGAGAATTCTGAAGGAAAGAGAACATAGGTGGGGTGGGTGGAGAAACCAGTGAGCTCTCCCGTTCTTCCTTCTCCGTATCTTCATATCCCAATCTTTGCTCTCTCAGTCTAGCATTAGGGTCTTTTGCTTCCGGATTTTGGGTTTGTTCTTTGACGAAATAATTTTTTGTTCCACTGCGTAGGTCTGTTGTGGGGATCAAGTGCAAAGATGGCATTGTTATGGTATAAGTGCACTTCTTTCACTTCTCTTTTGGCTGTCTCTTTTTGTAGTTGTTCAATTTTTGTGGTTTTCGTCTAGTTGATTTCACTGATTTGGTGGGTATTTACTGTTTTGTCTATGCTGTTTCAAATTTAGGGCGTGGAGAAGTTGACAGCTAGCAAGATGATGCTAAGCGATTCCGTTCATAGGCGTACTGTCATGGTACTCTTCTTCAATCCCTCTCACTTTCAATTTCATCTGGTTGCTTTTATCAAGTGTCGGGAACTCAAATCATAAAGTTGATTTTTTCGGGCACGTTGGTCTGTCATCTACTGGGCTCACTCTGAAGTTTTTGGTAGTGTCCCAATGAACTTGATATTTTGCTAGGTTGAGTGTTGATCAATAGTGTGCTACTGGGGTTCATCGGTGTAACGAAACATAGTAGGTTGCTTCATTTCTGTCCTCTGACCAGTTGTAGTTTATCCATCATATAAAATAAAATTCGGGCATCCTTGGTGAGCAGTGTTTGGAACCATTAGGAATCACTTCAACTTCAATCAGGAGTGAGAGTGGCTGTCTTATTGTGATATTAGTGGAGTTGTGAAATTGTAGTTAAAAGGTGCATTGTTCAGTCAGTACATTGTCGGTTCGTAGTCATATGTAGAAGGTAATGGCTTTCTCCTCAGGACTGCACTCTGTGAAGTAGCCCATCTGTTCTTTCATGCTCAATTTGAAAACCTCAATTCGATTTTCCCATTTTTGCTAGTGTCTGTTTGGGCATGCTTGTCCTTTGACATTTTCTGCTCAATATCAGGCTGTAGCTGGCTTAGGTGCTGATGGTGCACGAATTTTTGCACGAGCAAAGTCGGAGGCAGCCAAATATGAGAAGTTTGTTATTCTCTCCTTTCTTCTTGTTCCAAATGCTGCTTTTATTATCCTATCTACTTTGTTGCTAAAAGTGGAATGCAAAGTGTGATACAACTGTTTCTTGTTCGAGAGTTATTCTCATTCCTTCTAAATAATATATGTTATCATCTAAATGATACAACTGATTCCTTTCATCTAAATGATATATTTAATCATCTAAATGCATGTTATGCTTGTTATTCTGTCAATGCTGACTTCTTAAACTTATGAGTGCTTGCTAAGGATGTGGCCACTCTGTTGTCGTGCTGCAGTATGTTCAGTGAACCAATACCTTTGAAAGAACTCGTTGAACGTGTTCCTAGCTATGTGCACTTGTATACCTCCATTGGTTGTGTAGGTAAGTACTGATCCTTCGGTTCTGCATATATGGAGTTATTGACACACTTCGTGTCATTGTGCGTAGTTTAGCTGGAAGTGGTTGATAGGAAAAGGCAAGGGAACGTGTTCTGATTTATTTTTACATTGCAGGCCCTTTGGGTGTGGTGTTATTCTTGGTGGTTATTATGGAGACGAACCAGAGTTATACATGATTGAACCATCTGGAATATCTTATATAAGTTAACTTTTCTTACTTGAGATGGAATTGCTTTCCTTACAACTTTTTGATAAAGCTTCTCTGTTGAAATCACTGGGATTCCATAAGTTCTTCCTGCTGAAGGTATTTCCGTTATTCTGTGTCTTTTTGCGTTGTGTCTATGTACTCTCAAAACTCAATATCTTGCTTCAATAATTGCTATGTAGAGGTATTATGGCGCTGCGATTGGAAAAGGCAAGCAAGCTGCTAAAACATAAGTCTATACTTGTGCATTTTAACTAATGAGATGGTGTCAAATGATAGTAGTGCATCGTTTTTGCTTATTACAACAACTCTAAACGTCCTTGACATAATGGTTGCATCGTGCATCGTGTTTCCCCGGCAAATGATGCAATTGATGGTATAGACATATTGAGAAGTTGAAGCTTTCAGACATGACATGTCGTGAAGGAGTTTTGGAAGTAGCCAAAATGTGAGTGCTTCTGCTTTGTATTCTCTTAGTGTACATCCTCAAGGCGGCGTGAAATCGTTTACTAACGACTTAGAGTCTCAATACATTCTCTTGTTTCCAGCCTCAATGAATCTTGTTTTCTGATATGGTTTTGGGTCCAATACGTTCTTTTGATTGTTGCCTTTTCTTCTGGCACTTGCAATTTTCCTTTAGGTATGCTTCTTATCTGAAAAAGTGAAAATTAATTATGTTATTTAATGATGTTGTGCAGCATTTACAAGGTACATGATGAAGCAAAGGATAAGGGGTTCGAACTTGAACTGAGCTGGGTCTGTAACGAGTCAGAGAGAATACATCAATAGGTATTTATGCACTCTAATTTTTGCAAAGGTTGTTGTTCTCTTCAATTTTGACTTGTGAAAAAAACGTTAGAGACTAAAGTGCTTGATCATCCACTAATTTGGAAACAGAAATGAGTGTGCTTGAAAATTTTGTTTCCTTCTAACGAAGAAAGAAAGTTTGTTCCAAAAAAAAAGGAAAAAAAAGCAAGCGTGCATGTCTATTAGTTATTGCTAGTAACATGAACATAAATGGGGTATGTTTGTTTCAACCTAAACATTGAGGAACACAAACTTAAGTGTAATGGATCAAAAGTTTATGGGAAAAGATAAACGAGCCGTTTATAAAATGATAATTTATTAATATTAGTCAATCATATGACAATATTGAAAGTAAAGAGGAAAATAAGAGCATGCTCAATACAATTGCAAAACTAGTTTCATATTATTTTTATATTATCATTTCAAACTTTATGGAATCCAACTCACTTTTATTTTTATATTTCCTATGTGGCTTGCATTTTAAATTTCATTTAATGCAAGTTTGCATATTTGCAATAGCCCACTACATTGGTGCAATCCCTTTTACAATTGCATATTGAGTGTCATATAGGATTTGCAATTGGACAAATACCATTGATATGGATGCTCTAAGAAGAGAAAAAAAAGTGACGGAAAAAAAAGCTAATGCCCCGTTTAGTATCCATTCTGTTTTTTTTTTTTTTTCTGGACAACAGAAATGGGAATCTAAAGAAAAGTAATTTGTCGTTTCTTGGGAAACAAAACCTGAAGAAAACTTGTTTAGCTGAGAATTTAGAGGGTTCTTAAGCTGAAACCTGTAAATGAAACCTTTTTTAGATACGATTGTTACAAACCGATATCTGTTTTCAATATAGGAATCTTGTTTTAAACGGATAAACAAAACACGGGTACATCAACCAAATAGTTTAAAAAATACAACTACAATATCAAATAAGTGTAAACATCATATAATTCCTGCTTGAAATTCATTCCGCAACTTGCTTGTTGCCGTAGTGTAACTAACTCCAGTCTCACTAATGATGGTCGTGAAAACCCTTTGCTTTCTCCTCAACTGATTAAACTTGTTCTTTAACTGATCCTCAGTCCAAACCTTCCTAAACTTGTTTGTCAATACATCTCTTATGTTTGCCCAGCCTACCTTTGAGAAAGTAGTGGTAGTTCTATTTCCCTTATTCTCTTCTTCCACCATCAAATCAAGAAGGTATAACTTGACCTCATTAGGCCATACTTCCTTTCCTTCAGCCATTACACATTCATTATTGTTTTGGGCATCATTATTGTCCATGATAAGAACTAGTTACACAAATCAGTCGTATTAGATCTACAAAAATAAGCAATCAAATACCAACAAAAGATTCGGCACAATCAATTAGAAGGGTTAGTGAAAAGCGGGACATGCATGAGTTAATTAGTGGTTCACATATAGGTTAATGCGAGTAAAAAGTTGACAGTAGCAAAAGAAAAAAAAGAGTTCTCATATGGATGGGCAAAAAATCAAATATGGGTGGGCAAAGAAATCAAATACTTGATATGCTTTGCTTTTCAATCCTATGCTTTGCTTTTCAATCCTAGTTGTGCTCTGCTTTTCAAAAGGAAGGGTTTGTATATAGGGGTGTCAAATCGGTTTCGGGTTTTCGGTTTAACCCGAACCCGAACCGATAGTGAGGCTTGTCGGGTTCGGGTTCTCGGTTTCAGCTCTCAAGCGGTTTTTCCGGTTTCGGTTTCAGTAGAATCCGAAAAACCGATATGGACCCGAATGACCCGACATCATCATCCTCACCTACCTGCAGGCTGCAGCGCTTCGGCATTCGATTGGGGCTCGTCGGTGGAGCCGGCAGGGTCGTCGGGGTCCTTGTCGGAGCGGATCTCGGCGAGGTCGGGGTTGGTATCTTCGATTAGGTTTTGGTTGACGGCGTCGGCTTCGGAGCTGGATAGGTTGCCGATCCCGATTGTGCCGCGGAGGACGAGGATGGTGACGAAGCCGCAGAGGATGGTGATCTTGATGTTGTTGAAGGTCTTGTGGTCGACAGAGAAGCCAATGGAAGTGGTGAGGAACCTCGACGTCCCCCGGTACATGGGCCGGTGGTACGAGATCGCCTCGTCCCGGCCTTGTTCCAGCCGAAGAAGGGGGAGAACACGAGGGCGACCTACACGCTGAAGGAGGACGGTGCCACCGTCGGCGTCTTGAACGAGACGTGGAGCGACAGGAAGCGGAGCTTCATCGAAGGGATTGCGTACAAGGCCGATCCGGAGAGCGATGAGGCAAAATTGAAGGTGAAATTGAAGGTTCCGCCAATCCTGCCGGTGTTTCCGGTCACCGGGGACTACTGGGTTCTCTACATCGATCCAGAGTACCAGCACACCCTGATCGACCAGCCCAGCCGCAAGTATCTCTAGGTAAAAAATTGTTTCGGTAAAATTTAGCGATTTTAGCTGATCGATATTGCCGATTTTGCCTAATTCGGTGTGCCTGATCGTATTCATTTAAGTCCAGAGAAAGGCAATACAGTGGTCGCTTGTTCTGACACGAAATCAACTCGGGTAGGTTCTGGTTCCGGGTCGGAATCTGAATCACCATTTCAGCTTTGAGAAGAGAAGGTTGAGAAACAGGGGAAGGAGACCAAAGAGACGGAAAGCTCACTCCTTTATGATGAAATACGCGAAACCCACCAATGCTTTCAACTTTTCTGACCAATTCTTGCTGCTGGGCACTCATTTTTTCAGTTCCCATATGGCCAAAAGAAACTTTAAAAGCGAACAACGAAATGAAAGTAAGACCAATAGTGATAGAAAGCAGAGGAGGGGGAGGATTAGAATCTAGAAGCAACAAAGTAGCATTTGTAGAGCAGGGGAAGAAGGAAATTAGAACGTTTAAAAAATGAACAGATGTGCATTTTTTCGGGTTTCGGGTTCTTGTACCCACCCGAACCCAACAAATAGAATTCCGGGTTTCGGTTACCCGAAAATCGGAAGTTGGCTTCTCGGGTTCGGTTTTGGGTTTAGACAAAGCGGGTTTCGGTTTTCGGGTTCATCAGTTTTCGGGTTCGGTTTACCCGACCCGACTCGAACCGACAGGCCTATTTGTATATGGGTGGGCAAAGAAATTAAATACTGCTCAAATAATGACGAGGGGACGAAGGGGATGAAGGTCGGGTCGACGGCAACGACAAGGCAAGGAGGCGAAGGTCGGATCGACGACAAGGACAAGTCCAGAGTGGACGAGATGAGGCTATCTGCGGTGGTGAGAATGAGAGTGAGGCGGCTGGGAGAAGATGAGAAAGGGGAAGGGTTTGGGGTGCATTTTTGTCGTCCAAATAACAGTTGGTCCAATAAATTGATAATATGGGCGGTTGGGGGATTTGATAGTCAGACCTCATTAATGAGAAAGGGAGAGACCAATCCCTTTCCATTCCATGAAGCAGAAAAATTGTGAAAAATTGTGTTTCTGGAAATTGCCAATGTTTTCTACTATTTGATTCCACAAATGAAAGGTAATAGAATGGGAATGAAAAATAAACGCTATTTTTTGTTTTCATTTCTAAATATATGAAATGGAATGAGAAAACAGGAATATGAATGGTTACTAAACAGGGCGAAGAGTCAAACTGTCACTTTCTCTCCATTTTGGAAATTGAATTTTCCATGCCCAATTTCCCTCCACTCCCTTTTCCACCCTTGTAGAACAAAGGGTAACTGAAGACGATCGTAATAAACAGTAATTCGAGATTGCTAGGTTAGAAAAGAAAGGCATGTTGTATATGTGTGTGTATTTGTCAATGGTTAACTTGCTACACAGATTCCCGATGAACTTCTAGAGGAGGCCAAGTCTGCTGCAAGACTCCCTTCAAGAAAGAACGTTGATTACCAAGCGACCCGTTGAGTTGCCCTTTTACTAGAGAAACCATGGTGAAATCTGGACAATGACAATTTGGGCGCTCTGTGACTGACATGTCTGATCAACAAATGTACTATTTCGTCCGCACCAGACATACTATTTATTTTTCAGTTTGTAAACATCAATTTTTGGGGAATTTTGTGAAAAAAGTAAAAAACCCTTAATTTTTTTCTTGATATGAATGATACACATTGTTTAGGTAATTTGATGTGTGGAAAGAGATTCACAACACATGTGATATTCATATAACACATTTCACATATTCATACAACACACTTAAATATTCATGTTGGATATATTTTACACATTGTGAATACTTTCATTGATACATGTAAATACTCTTAAAACGTGTTGTGTATACATTTATTGTGTTGTGTGAATATTTATGTTGCTTATTAAAATTCATAGTAGACTATAGGAGAAAATCATATTTGTAGCATTATAAAATCATATATAATGGTTGTAATTGGGGAAGGAGAGATCTAAGGGTACAGAGAAATAGGGGATTTGGAGATGAGCTGATTGGATTTTTGGTGGGCTGACGAATCTCTTGACGACAGTGAATGCACTCATCTAATCTTCTACGAGACTCCTGGTCTCTGCTAGCTATCTCCTGACCACAGAAGCTGTCATGAAGCTACTTCAACGGATGATATCTCATTCCTTTTACATTGAATTTCAATAATTTTTGTGTACACATATAAGGTTTTTTTGTTCTCCACAAGAACTATCCATTTTGATATTTTTTATCAAAAAAAATTTCACGTCATATTATCACTGTCATATCACGATATTATCACTAAAAGTGGAACGATATCATAGTGGTAGGGTGGTAATCGGTTATTCGGTTAACGGTTTAGCCGTTTACCAAATTGATAATTGGCAGTTATCGAGTAAACCATTAACCGATGCTATTAGTATGCGGTAGCAAAAATTCATATTTCAGTGTACAAACTTCTACCCGGTTAGTAACCGACAATTATTCGGTATACCAGATAATCGACTATCAAAAGTTTATGAGAAGATAAGCTCACCATTTTGCCCTGTGGCTCCTTTTTGTTCATTTCCCTTCAATCAAAAACCTCAATTCTTGGCCCCCTCAATGAGACGAGCACACAATGGACAAGTCGCGTGGTGTGGATGAAAATCCAACAATGACGGTAGAGTGAGCAAACAAAGGTTTTGCAATGGTCGACATAGGGACGACCCTAGGCATGCATTGATGGTCGAACATGGGGGAAATGATGATAGTGTGGAATGGTTGTGGCTAGGGCTGCAAATGAGCCAAGCCACTCGCGAGCAACTCGGCGTTCGAATTGGAAAAACTCGTTCGACACTCGGCTCGTTATTAAACAAGACGGCTAGCGAGCCAATTCGTCAGTACACGAGCCAAGCTTGGGCTAGATCACGCTCGGCTTGAAAAGCCAGTAAACGCTCGGCTGCAAACACTCGGCTTGTTGAGCTAAGCTCGCGAGCTGACTTGTTTAGAGCTAGTGGAAGGATTAATTACTCTTTTAAACATGAACATTATGTTGTTAATATGGATATGCATGAAAGTTAGCTGTAATTTATAGTTTCTAGTGTTCTTTCTATCATTTAAACTCGTATGTGTACACATTTTTCAACAATAATGATTTCAATCGAGCTCGTCTAGAGTCGAGCTTGTACTAACCTTGACAAGCTGTGTTAATGAGCATTTACCGAGCTTTAATTTTTATAAACGAGCCGAGCTCAAGCTAAGCAAAAACTCGACTCGACTCGGGTCGTTTGTAGCCCTAGTTGTGGCAAAACATTTCTCTGCATTGAGGTTCAATGTTAAGAAAATAGCCCCTTTCCAAATATTGACCTAACGTCGTGAGTATGGTTATGCGACAAGACCACTTTCGCACGAAAGGGCTGCAACAACTCATTCTTTTGAAGCTAGGGTACAAACCATAAAGTTAGGGTCGACCAAATTTAGTGTCTTTAAGTTAGAAAAAAACAAGGGTTGCCTCCCACGCAGCGTCTCTCTTTAATGCCTTTGATCTAGGCTTCGCTAGTGTCCTTTTCTGTTGATTAGACTAGTGCAGGTCTAAGGGCATTTCCCAAAGTGATCATCTAGGGTAGGTGAATCGAGGGATGAGTCAGACACAAAGTTGTGAGTCGCAGGTGGCTCATAAACATGGACGGGAAATTTGCATACCATCTCCTCAAACTCTCGCTTGCTATTCGGAGATAGCGAGTTCCCCTCATCGTGTTCTCTAGCTTGGAAGTCAAGCTCCTTTTCCATCTCGTTTGGAAGTGTTAAGTCGACACTTTCCCCATATTCGGACATAGGAGTTTCCGAGGAGTCACAATCAGATTCTACAATGGTAGATCTCAATTGTTTATCATGTTCCTTCTTCTTTTCTTCTGGAGTAATCATTTGGATAATATGGTCCACATTGTCAATTCTATTTGTAAAGTGATGCTTGTGAATGTCGATTAATGTGTTGGAACCGACTAAGAAGGGTTTGATTCAGGATAGTTACACACTTTTATACCACTTAACTTGTGTCATTTGACTTGGTTTGCACCGTCCTTTGAGCTATTTTACACTAGGTTTGTTCGTGTTGTGTCATGTTTCATACCTTAGCAGGTATTTTATCTCTTGGATCGAAAGTTAGACAAATGAGGGTGAAAGGGAGCAAAATGGATAAAATTTCTAGAATGACTGTTTTGGAGAAATTGTCACGGCTTGCAGATCGGTAAGTGACAAGCAAATCGTTAAGTCTGTACACTTTTAGGAGATTTTGTATGGTTTGCGGGCATTGCAAGGATCACGATCTCCAAACCGTCAAGTGTACAAGCAACTCGTGAAGTATGTTAGTGAAATGGCGCATTTTGTGCCAAAATCATGGTTTCACTACCTATTTCACGGGTGTCAAGTGAGACCGTGATGTGAGCCGTCAGGAGCTATATAAAGGAGAGTGAGCTGAATGGAAAAGGGAGAGATTTCTTGAGAGAGTGAATGGTTTTTCTTCAAGCATATAGAGAGAAAGCTTCACACAAGGAAGGGAAGATGATGTGCCTAAACTGGTCTAATTGAAAATAAAATAGCTAGTGTTGCTAGAAATTGAAAAGAATTGGAAAATTTAGGGTTTTGGGTAGGTTAGGAAGAACCGGCACACGAGCCGTGATAAGGTTCGAGGCAAGGCACCACAACCAAGGAGTTGATAAGCCTAAGAAATGACAAGGAAATATTTCTTGCAACTCTTGAAAACTCTTATTGAAATCTGAATACTGAATGAATAAAACTGAACTACAGGCCTCTCTATTTATAGAGAGGCTAACTCAAAAGAAAAGACTTCCTTTTACACCTAAGAAACTGAAAAAGTACTTACTGAAACAAATAAATAAAGCAAATATAATAAAAGACTCCTAACCCAACATGGACAACAATTAAACATCTCCTCCAAATCCTTGTTAGATAGGGATAGTTGTAGGAGATCCCCATTTCTGAAATCCATCATCTTCCTTAGGGTTTGACAACTCTTTGAGAGCATCTTTGATAACATAAGCAAGTTGTCTAAGTCTAGTCCGAGTTAGTGGACCATCAATGACATCCCATGGATCAATATTGGGTATATTATCATCTAGATTCCCATCATTTCCCCCCGGCTGATCAG